ATAATTTTTTTTTTTTGTTAAGCAAGATATTTTTCCTGAAACAAAGTTTGGGATCATACACGCCCGACTAGACATCATGGTCAGTGGTGATCACGTGACGCACGGAGGAGGCTGTCGCCGCACATCTAGAGGATGGGTATGAGAGGTTGCTACGAAGAAGTGGGGAGGGCAGTTCACGCCCATCTGAAGTATGGTGAGAAGGTGGAGTAAGAAGGCTCCCAAAAATGGAAAAAGTGGAAAATTCTAACCAGAAATAAAAGAGGTGGATATGTATTTAGAATTATCGAGGACCCCCCAGCGCCGACAAACCCACCCCGGTTTTGGTCGGCGTCCATATAAGCAAGGCCGCAGCGAGCGAAAATCAGTTAGAGTTTCAGTTCCAGTTCCAGCAGAGAGTTCGAAGTTCGCAGTGGAAGTTGGTTCCACCTCGCAGATAGCTGACTTGAAAGATTCACGCAAATTCCGGACTCCTCTTCAATCCAAGAACAATTCATTTGAAGAGCGACTTAGATCCAGACCACCAAAATAAGTTTTTTTCGACTTTCGCCCGAAGAAACACCGAAAAACCAATTTCTTAAAGAGCAAACAACTTGAAGCGTTAAAACTCGTCTAACGGAAAACAACGTGTCACAATCCATAGAACGGGTCGGGAAATAGACGCAGTCCTATGTATCCAACAACTAGACATAAAGTTTGTTATCCTTTTTTTGATACTTTGAATTTTTGAGTTATCATTTTATTTTCTTTTATGCATATTTGTGCGGTGTCACTCCCGTTTGAACCCGATTTGCATTACGGCCGCAACTACTGATTGATCTCGTCTGCCTAAGATCAATTCACAACGTGGGTAGGCAGACTGGAGATCAATGCAGTTACTTTGGTAACCAGGCGTTGGAAGCGAGTTGGGAACGACGAGGCTGATATCGAATCTAACCAGATTCCCATCCGAATCACCAAAAGGTTAGAACGTCACATTTGGGTGCCGCGACCGATACCAAGCCAGTTGGTTTTCACAGGATGAGACAACACGACTGACGCGACAGGCGGACGTCACGTTTGGAGCGGCGACACCCGAACGGAGCAGCGAGGAGCGAGCGAAGGCTGTGTTTAGGGACGTCGCAGCTGACGCCGCGACCAAGGACGTCACAGTGTCTTGTGACGATGGAGATATCTCTAAGGTCAACCCTCTAGTGGATCTTGCTCCTCTTATTCTCTAGTATAACACTCTGTGCAGAGTTTAATTTGTCAACACTTAAGGTGAACCCAGTAAATAATGGGGGGTCATAGTAGATCAGCTTCTCTTAGAATAAAGTTTCCTTATTGATACTAAATTTGTTTGATATCATTTGGTATTTCATGGTATAAATTGTATACTAAAATTTCCAATTGAATTTTGAAGAAGGACAATTCTGAATTCAAAACCATACCGAAGACACAATATAACTTCCGTATATATGTGCCCCATCGACTCTAATGGATTTCGTGACACACGACGCTGTGACGTGACTGTATACAGATAGAGAGAAATTGTTGACTAATTTTTAAGGCTTATCAATCTAATTAACTCTTTTTACATAGCGTGATACATATTTGCTTAAAGGATTACATGGAAATAAATCAAGTTTAATTTGAAAAAATGCTTACTATATAGAATAAAATAAACATCTCTTTCAGGGGTGTATTTATTTATTTTTAGTTACTCTATGTTCGTATTTTTGTTACATAATTTCGATGCTGTCGTGTTTGGTATTGTTAGGTAATAATATCCGTTTTTATTCATTTGATAATTTATTGGATATAATAAAATCCTCTTATGCTTGGTTTAGAAAGTTAAATTTTAATTAAAAGAAAAAAGATCAGTACGGCCATATTGATTCATGGCTTATACTCTATATGCAATAAATGAATTGTGTAATGGTTAACGATTCAGTAAGACAACTCACCGATCAGAGTCCGAATTATGGTCACTTTCGAGCAAATATCTTCGGAAAAGTGTGAATCTAACTCTTTCCCCCCTCCTAGCTATGGATTAATGAAAAAAAAAACAGTTGGACTTTCGCAAGGTAGCATTTGGAACAATAGCTCTGGACTCAAAACCAAACTGAAGATACGTCATTACTGCTTATGTCCCTACTACCATTTCAAGAAACATGACTTCATTGTACACACACGCATATATATATATATATATATATATATATATATATATATATATATATATATATATATATATATAATTTAATTTTTCCGTGTCAACTCAGTGTCATCTGCATCTGCGTATCTTATATTGTTAAGATTCGGTCCACCGATAATAAATCATGGTACGGTTTCCAGTTCCCTTAGGATAGATTCGCTATCTTCTTACGCAAATACAAGAGTTGTATTAATCATAACACTGCTGCCTCTCCAATTCAGTTGAATAAAAGAAAAAGATACACAACAAAGAAATGTATAATTGATTGAAACATTTTTATTATCGTGAATATTTGTGCTTCGTTATAGCCTGAAGTTTAAAAAAGTTAAAAAAAAAAAAAAATAAGATGACATATAATATTCATACAACTTTATCGTTTCTATATTATTTTATTTTTCAGAAGTAATTAATTTTATAGAATTTTAACCATCTGGCTAGTTTAGTAATAGACAATGGAGAATGTGGAAGAAATCCGAAATTGCATGTAAGGACGAAAGATGTCTTCCAGAATGTCAGGGATGCGAAAATGTTGGTCGAAAAAAATGTTTAGCTGATATCTATTCAAACAGATTTAAGTTACAAAATATATCTTTTACGTCAGTAAATTTGTTCATTATTTACATTATTCGGACTATTGTCCTCATCTTTGTCGCCATATTTATCACAACGTTTCGGCCGTTGTACGCTCCGGCCTTCTTCAGGTGGTTGGAATGTTGAACTGAACCCTCTATTTCGCTCACTCACTGGGGTAGGACTGTTCTGGTTCGTGCCATGTTTGATGGATATCAAAGTTAGGAGTTATCTTCTGTTAATTACTCTCTGAAAGTTCTTTAGGCCTTAACCGGGTATTGAACTCACACTCCAGGACACATGCCACAGTGGATAAAGGCTTTGTTTATCCCAGTGAGACCGAAATAGAGGGTTCAATGCGACATTCCAGCACTGAAGAAGGCCGGAACGTACAACGGCCGAAATGGATAAATATGGCGACAAAGATGAGGACAATAGTCCGAATAATGTAAATAATGTACATAATACCTCATCTCAGAAATATAAACAGAATAAATTTGTTTCTTGTAAGAAAGCTTACTTATTCTCAATCCATATTGTTTACCAACAGCTGTAGAAGGGCAGTTTGAGTTGCTGTAATAAAATGTAACCGAAGTTATTTGACTGTAAATATTTATTGTGAACGTAAACAAATATGGGGACGTATCAGGCGTTCAGAAAAATAAAGAATAAACAATGTATCTACAAACACACCTACAGACGGTGATGAAGGAAAGCAAGAAGAAAGGATTAAACACCAAGTACAAGAAAACAGAATGCATGGTTGTTAGCAAAAGGATGAGCCCAAAATGCAAATTAAAAACTGATACGAAAATCAAACAAGAAAAAAAATTGTAAATATCTCGGAAGTGTTTTAACAGAGGATGGAAAGTGCAACACTGAAATCCCAAGGCACATTGGAAAAGCGAGAAAAATGTTGCATGCTTTAATTATAAATACATTTTACTTACTTAGTAAGACAGGATTAACCATACAATGCAGTTAGACAGAGTGCGTAGTAGTTACCAAAGTGCGAATTGTAAATCGGTGATACCAAATTCAAACAAGTGTGTAAATTTAAATATCTGGGAAGCGCTTTACCAGAGGACGGAAAGTGTGACATTGAAATCCGAAGGCGTATTGGATAGCCATGAAAACATTTCTGATGCTCAGCAAAATACTAAATTTTCGCGAGGGGAAAAATACTGAACTGTTACATCATATTTGTCCTCCCGTTTGGCAGGGAGTGATAGACAATCTCCTCAAAGATAAAGAGACTTGAAGCAACAAAAATGTACTTCTACAGAAAGATGCTGAGGATAAAATGGACCGAATATGTGAGCAACGAAGTTTTGGAGAAAATGGAAACAAAAAGGAAACTAATACAAGAGACAGATGATACTAAGAGACAGTTGAAATTTCTAGGGCACATAATTACGAAGCAGGGCTTGGCAAATATGATACTCTCGGGACAGATAGAAGTCACCATGTTCGTTAAATCCAGTCTACTTAACCCTCCGCTTAGTGATGCCACACTGGCAACATTCATAGCTATGGAGCCCAGTTTATCCCATCACGATAGATGACCATTGACTCTACACAAATTCTTTTTTTTTTCAATCCAGTTGGGTGTCTAATCAGCACCCTCACCAGAAAAGAACCACTTTCATTGCTGATGGCCCGACCATGTGTCATTTAGGACTAGTTTACCGAATACCAATAACACTCGTCGTACAACCTGGATTAAAATACAAGGACAATGATTCATCTAACAATAAATTGAAGATACTATTTTTACAAGTTGTGAAAATAATTCTCTTTGCGAAATTAAAATGATTATATACGGCACCTTTTTTTTTTTTTTAGATAGTTAACACGTATTGACTCATATAATATATCCACGAATAAATGTCACTGAATATACTTTACACACTGGCCGCTTGTTCACGAAATATCATAGACGGATACCTCTTCCTTAAATGAACAAAAAATAAATAAATAAAAACATATTGGTCTAGCTGTGTCAGTTATCTTGAACAATGCACAACTGCCATTTTATTGAATATAATCACTCATCCGTAAAATATATTTATGGGTATGGGAAATAAAAGGACGTAACGAAATGGAAATATTTCCTTCTAATAGGCCGTGCATACTTTCTTGTTTAAATCGTCGTAATCAACTTGTTTGCTTCTTCCTGTATCAAAATTCAAAACGCAATATGATCCTCGTAATTTGAATCGAATCTGGCGTCCATTTACGACGCTGAAGTGGAGATAAAAATGAAAGACAGAAAGATGAGAGAGAGAGAGAGAGAGAGAGAGAGAGAGAGAGCAAAGATGGAGTATTTGTGTTCTAATTCGATACTTGCAAAGCGGAGTTTATTCACTGCTTGAATCTTTATATAATATAAACCTCCTCGTTAAATTTTCATGATTTTAAGACAGTTTTCGTTCTAATTGGTCGCGTTTCTGTTAACATATTAACGTTTTTGATTTTACTAAAATTAATAGCATTAGTAATTATATAATCTCCAAAGACACACTCACGGAAACTATTATTTAGTCTTGAAAATACTGTGTCCATAAACCCATAGCGGGGTAGAGAAATAGACGGATACATAATTTTCCGAAGATATTTGCTCGAATGTTACCATAATTCAGCTTCGGATCCTCGAGTTTTCTTTCCGAATCGTTAACCAATACACAACCCATATATTGCGTATCGAGTATAGAGTATAACACATGAATAAATATGGCTGTATTGAGTATTTTCTTTTCTTTTTTTTAGTAAAACTTAATTTTCCTCTAAACCAAACATAGCAGGATTTTATTGATCCAGTGGAACATTATACAATGAAAATGGATATTATTAGCTAGTTTTACCAAGCACGACATCATTGAAATTATATAGCAAAAAAAAGAAGAAAAATACGAACATATAATAATTAAAAATAAGTACATCCCTTTGATAGATGTTTATTTTATTCTATACAGTAAGTATATTTTCAAATTAAACTTGATTTCTTTCCTTGCAATGATTTAAGCAAATATTTATATTCCTATATCACGCTATGTTATAGAAACAATTTTCAATATGCGACGTATAGGCTGTACAGTTTAATGAGAACACAGCCTTGAAGGTGCAGTATTCTGTAAAGCAGAGATATTAGCACCTGGAAGTATCAAACCCATTCTGCCTTTAGAAGTTGTTAGATTCGACCAAATATAAATTATTGCTTTCTATCTGGGCTGGATCTGTTTCTCATTTGACATCCTTGATAGTGTGTAAAATATTTTACGCTGTCTTCCTGGCGATTACTTATTTCCCATCCTACAGCTGCTTTCCCCACAATCGCAAAGACGCGAGCCTATCGATTCTCTGTCATTATTCAGATGAGCTCAATTTTGTAGTCCCAACGTCTTAGACCTCGGATAAGCTATTTTACTTCTACAAATTCAGAAACAACCTCATTTACCCTGTTCCGAAGGTAAGAAGAACATTGCAATAAAATGACTTTATTGTGTGTATATCTTTGAATTTCGCTCTTAATCTAATTTACCTAATTCCTTTTTTTTTTCCTTTTTTGGCACCAATTCTTTATGAAAATTTGCTTTTTTCCTTCCATTTATTTATTTTTCTATTTATTAATTGAAGTGAATTTAGTCACCGCTCTTTTTGAAAAGTTTGGATATTATTTGTTTGAATATTTTTTTCGCTGACTCATACAAAAAAACCCTACGACATGATGTATCCCAGGTTCACGGTTTTTGCGGAACAAACTCCCACATGGGTGTTTCCCTGATCACTACAATCTTAACCTCTTCAAATCGTGGATCACTCGTGATATATTCTACTTATAAGTCATAATATTAATTTCGAATCACCTCTTCACTTCATATCATATATTAGGCACGGTACTTCGACGTGATGTAATGGCTACTAAGCTTTTCTCGCTAGAAATAATTACGAGTGAGTAGTGAGCTTGAGTCTCACTGGGTACCCCATACATTCGGCCTTGTGACACATCTAAGCAGCACTTAGAAAATCACCATATATATATACAACTAATCAAAAAATTACAGACTTGCGGACATATGACATTGAAACAGCGGTTCCTGTACATTCACCAAAGTTAAGCAAGTTTGAGCCTGGTCAGTACTGGATGTGTGCACTCTTGGAAATAGCAAGTGTTAGAAGTTTGGTTGTGCGGGTGGCATAATGGATAATGGCTCGGAATTGTTAATCGGGGTATCAAGTTCCAAATCCTGTTGGCATCGTTATATTCTCTTACACGCCCAAAATTCCTTAGTCATTACCATTTTAACCATAATTCTTTACCTTGAGAGTCTCACAAGACTTGTATTGGGTAAATACCTGAATAAAAAATCTGTTTACTATTGCACTATTATTGGCGTACAAATATGCAGAGAGACTTGCATGTACGGATAGGAATATATTGATTGGAATGTTGTCAGAGAAATCTTAAAGTCTAAAGGATTTGTCTCGTTTTAAAATCAATATGTTGGGAGTAAACTTGCTACGCTCTCAACAATAAAACAGGCCCTGAAAATTTACAGAAAATATCTATGGTGAAAAAAAGTGTTACTTGATTGAATATTATTTTTAATATTTGTACTTCTCGTTATGGTTGGTCTTGGTAGGTAGAATTTGTATTAAAAAAAGACATTTATCATCCAACCTCATAGAATGTCAAAATATATTACTTGGCACTTTACGACCTTTTCGCTGAGTAATGGAGATTACTTGGCAATGTCAGTCAAAATACGACAGACTGTTCTTGCTTGAATTGTGCGAACATCAAAAATTATTCTTGACTTGAACGCTTGGCAAGTTCACAAAAGTATTGTGTCGTTTAAGGGTTACCGGCAAGCCGATTTCAAATTCTCGCATAGTCGTTTCTTTTTAATCAGTATTACTTTATGTAAGGGGATAAAGCCACTACGACACAAGGGGAAATAGGGTGTGGAAGAATTAGGAACAGAAACATTAATAATGAGTGAGAAGAGAAAAGAGTAATAAAGAGGACAGTGGATAACAATTGATATTACATTTAAATTTACGCAGATTAAAGTTTATTGGAAAGCTTGGATCCAGAAAGGAGTTCCACAAGCGAGAAGTACGAGAACAGAAATCATTAGCATTCACTTTCTCATGAATTGTCTTTAAATGCATATGGAATACCAGTAGAGCCGGGTCTCTCTAAAGTAACTTGTCTTGCAGTGAGTCTAGTAGGTAGAATTTAGAATTCAAAAACGGAGAGAAAGCTTCGCGAATATACATCACGAAATAATGGGAATTAATTGATAATAAAGAAAAGGAAATTATGGAGAGCGATGATCGCTAACGTCCCAAAAACACACAGGTTTTAAAAAATATTAAAGTGCAAATAAAAAGTATGTTTGTATTTGAGATCGCTCAGCTAATTCCAATATCTGTATCGTTAATCGTGAAATGAATCCTGTACCTTTAGTGTGCACCATGAGGTGCAATTTATCTTGTGATTCTTTAAGCATAATAGCTACATGGTTAATTCCAAGAACAAAGACTACAATTTGATTGTAAAATCGAAAGTTACAAAGTTAAATGAAGCAGTGTAGTTACTGGGGTGTTGGGGGGACTGTGCTAAAACCGTTTCTTTGGACCTTCCTAACCGTGTGGCATTGTGCTGAAATATACATTGCATCAAATCTCTCACCGCCAAAAGAAGCTAGAAGCAATGTTGTGTTGGGGTTTCTCCCTGGTCACGTGATCTCAAACCTGCATTCGACATTGCAAGCGTTAGAACAAGAATTTTGGATGATTTGGAGCGTTTTATCAAATGATGAAATATTGGTGTGAATAAATTATTAAGAAATGGAAATTTAACTTTGGCCTTAGCATTTAATCGGCATCCTCCACTTCGTTATACCAACCTTGAAATACCAGCTTTTACAATTCCGTCCTTTACCTGTATTTGGCCACTGACAATGGTAGAAAAATGCACTGCTGTATAACACAGGAAGCAAACCATTCAAAAATTCATTCAAACCGATATCCAGAATAATGTCCTCATCATTGTTGCTATCTTAACGTTTCGGGTATTTCACCTTCAGCAGCTCCCTTCAGTAATTTTAAACTCCACCCTTTACTGAATCTACGGGGAAAATTGGTCTCGTTCCCCTTGCAATGTCTAGGGAAACAGTGTTTAGTCTTTAATGACCAGTTCTAACGGAGTCTAGGCCAGAGACTAAACTCACAATTACTACAACACCAACTTCACCAAGCAAAGGTATAATCCCCTAGGCTATTGTCCCGTAAGATAACCTTGAGTATAGAAACTGGAATTAAACCTAATCATTCAACGACTGAGTCCTCTATTGCTGCTGTCTTTGTTAGAGCTTTGTGGTCATTAAATTGTGAACTAATCTTAAACTAGGATATATACCCAAATATGTATTTAAAATATGATGGTTAACCATATTTTAAGGAGTGCCTACCAAAGAGTAAACCACATTAATTCGATTTTATTTCTTTGGCCTCGATTGTAACCCTGGGATTGCATAGGCAAAGCGTGGATTTAATAAAATGTGTGTCTAATACGAACATTTTGTTGCAAAAAAAGCATATTGTATTTTTGTATTTTACATATTACACTGGCTTGGCATACTTTTCAACATTTTGCTGTTTTAACGTGTTTTTTTTTCAATATGTAATTATCCTTTTTGAAGATGTTTTTTTTTTTTTATACGCTGCTAATTTATACTTCTGTGTTAGGGGAAAAGGTCTGTAACGAAATTGTCGGGAAAATATATGCTATATATGTTTTTGTTTTGCCTTTGAAATATTTCTTTTATAAGTTTGCATTTTGTTTTTCTTCGGCGACATTTTCCAGGCTTTGCTCACAAATGACGACGTCTCATTCAATATTCAGGACACGTAAAAACAGAGACAATAAAAGTGAAGATTTATTCTAAAATTATGTCGCAACGCTATTTTACAGCCGGAGTCAGATCAGATTACCTAATAACCTCATAGACTGTCGAGTTTCTACGCTGGGCCTTTCACGTCATTTGTATGGCGTTACCTACTAGCACCCAACTCCTCTCCATTACTACATAAATAATATTGTGAATACTTGAACTGTATGAGAAGCAAGATATAAAAGAATTGCCTGTACAGTAGAAGCAAATAGTACGTCATTTTGCAAATGATCGATATATATATATATATATATATATATATATATATATATATAAATATATATAATATAGACTAAATTTGAGATAAAACCCTCGAATTTTTGATTTGCTAATCAAATCAATCTCGAGAAAAAAAAGGTTTTAAAAAAGAAAGAGCTACAAACATGAACTTCTGCCGACAAAAAAATCGCACAGATGCAGGTTTGAAGCCCAAAGAAAAAAACCCCGATACGAGTAACAACTAACAAAAGAGCTCAATACAACCGTAGAGCAGACCTAGATACACCTAGTGAGCCAGACAAACCAACCTAGGTTTCACCTAAACGGATCGTCAGGAAAGTTTGGCCAAACTTTCCCCTGACGATCCGTTTAGGTGAAACCTAGGTAGGTTTGTCTGGCTCATAAGGTTTATCTATCTATCTATATATATATATATATATATATATATATATACATATATATATATATATATATATATATATATATATATATATATATATATATATATATATATATATATATATGATTAGTATATACAGAATGAATTCCAATAACCAACAATTACTATTCTTAAAAAAATTACTCAATACAGAGTAGAGCAGATATAATTATTTATTTAAAAATTGTAACATAAATGTGTTATAAAATCCAAAATAGCCATTTTGTTTCAACACATCTGGTGTCTTATCAAGTGATGATGTTAAGACACCGAAGGTGTTGAAACAAAATGGCTATTTTTGTAGTGATTTTATAACATATTTATGTTATAATTTAAAATAATTAATATATATATATATATATATATATATATATATATATATATATATATATATATATTACTTTATATTGTCGATTTATGCAATAGCGAATACTCTTCAGATATTTACCTGTTTTTAGGGACAACGAGTTTCGAAATTTAATACATATGGACTGAAATATACACAATGCATCTAATTTGATATATAATTAACAACTGTGAGAAAAATATTGTCAGACGTAAAATACAGGTAAATATATACAGTGTAACCCGGATATTGTCGGGACCGGAGAAGAAGTCTCTTATATCCGGGTTTCTCTTATATTCGGGTTTGGTCTATTTTATATACATTAACACAGGCTCTAATTTGGGACCAGAGAAAATATATATTATATCCGGGTTTCTCTTATATCTGGGTCTCTTATATCCGGGTTACACTGTATTTGAAAAAATGTTAAAGCTGAGGGAAAATTTAGTCACGCAGCTGCTGTTACACTCTGCTTGGTAAGAGTTACATGCGTTAAAAAAAAAAAAAAACGAAAAAAACAAAAAAAAAACAGCAACAATAAAAAAAATGGGAGCTTGAATTTCAAGAGAATTGTCTTCTATTTTCTGAAAGGTTCGCGAATGAGGCAGGGCGCCAATCACCCCGAACCGAGTACACACTACAAACTTCTCAATACGTCAAAGCAGGTCCATTTTCTTCCAATTACAGAGACTAAAAACATTCCTTAAATTCAGACACTCATACAGAACTATCCTTGAGCAAATGCAATACTAAAAAATTATTGTTAAAATAAGGAATTCTATCTCATTTTCTTCATTCTTTCGTCTGTCTATACATTAGGTTCTTTGGTTTAGGTCGAACCCGACGCACGGCGTTTCGTGTTTACGACGCCATCTCCCATAATACGTTATCATGTGGCGCTGCATGAGGAAGACGGCGTTGTTTCTTCACGAGCTGTACGCCATATTGAATTGTGCTATTGAATTGTACGCCATATTGAATTGTGCTATCTATTGTTTTTACATTTTTTCTTTTATTTTACTTTTTGCCCTTCCTTAGGGTTCCTAAGCGTAAAGCAGACTCTTGGGTTCTTATGTAGGTGAGATCCGACCTACGTCGAAAATCAGGTTACGTCGAGGTTAACCCCTATATCGTCTAATCAACTCAGCATGAGTAATTCTTGTTCGTCAACAAGCAACTCCTTATCAACCTTAAAAGGCTAATAAAAAACATTATAAGTTTGCTATAAGATAATTATTATGCAGATCTAAATCTTTCCAAAACTACATTGTAACATTTGGAATTTTCCAGCTATACTTCATTAGGGTACAGTGCCATTGCAATCGTTATTTTCGAAATATTCCTATCATAATATTTTGCTTAATTTCTGGAAGACATCTTCGCTATTATAAATATATTCATGGCAACTACTTTGACAAGCTTTTTTTTCCCTGGTACCCAGACTACATGAATTTAAGCGTGCTACTAGACAGGAGGCACGGTGAAGCAATTCCAGTCGAATCCATTACATTCACTTACGTGCTAATACTCTTTGGAAAGGCATGAATCCGCTTCTCCTCCCCACCTAGCTATGGGTAAATAGCAGGACAGACTAGGTTCTATAGATGTTCTTGGATGGCAACTGGTCTACCTATTGCGGAAAAAATAATATGCCTCTTCAGCGTGTTGAAATAGCTAAATACAACCTCCATTTCTACTCCAACAGTTGCTCTTCTCGCACTTCCCACCTGTAGAACTCTATTGAATTTACTTCCTTTGCTGATAATTATCTTAAAAAAATTAAATCTCCATCTTCTGTCATCATGAATTCCGTTCATCTTCGTCCTATTCTCAGCTTTCACTTTCACTTTCACTTCTTGTAAACCCCAGCGTACTAGTGGCATACCCGCTTTGCTTGTGGTAAAATGATTAAAAAAAGGGACTCTTTTGGAATTCTGCTTTACATTCTCTGTTGTATGATGCTACCCTACCCAGAAACTTAAATTCTAATACTTGCTTCTTTTGCTGACCACCAAAATAGTCTGTGTTCTTTTAGTTAACAATCCTTTTTTCTCGCTTTCTTTTGCTACTTTATCTAGGAATTCTTATAGTTTTACATCCGAGTCTACCATCAATAAAGTACAATCCATGGTTTGACAGACATTTGCATATTGGACATTTTCCTCCCAGATAATTGCGTACCTGGACATTTGTGTCCCTAGATAAATGCTTCCCTGGATAACTGCGTACCTCTGATAATTTTTTGAAGCTTTTAAAAGCAATTACCATAAATTTTGAAATGTAATGATAAGTTTGTTTTTTTTTATATAAAAGGAATAAAATAAAAAACAAATCAAGGGAACATAACGAGGAAAGAAAGATAGGAAAATTTGATATTGGCAAGACAGATTGAAGATCCAAAGAAGAATCTGCAATATTATTGGTCCTGATCAGGCATCTCGGTACCAATTACTTTGCCACCTCCTTAATATTGCCTGCTTTTTCTACAAATACTTTCATGTTAATTGTTCGAATGAACTTTCGGTACAGTACCTAGATTTTTTTAATTTAAGCGCAGTACTAGACTGGCGATGAGGTCCCATTTATAGTCGAGTTGGTTATATGGAGCCGTAAATGCTATGCTAATAGTTTTTTTTGTCGCACTTCTCGCTTGTGGAACTCCCTTCAAGCTCTGTGCTTTCCAGCTAACTTTAATCTGCGAATATATAAATACAATGTCAATCGCTCTCTACTGTCCACCTGATTACTATCTTCTCATTCTGCTTATCATTAATGTTTTTGTCCCTAAGTCTTCCACACCCAGTAACCCCTCGCGTTTTAGTGGCATTAGTCCCTTGCTTGGGGTGATTTCGATAAAAAAAAAAAAAAACGAGAGAGGGACAGGATGAAAAAAAAAAAAAGCGGATAATCTACCTAGGGAGCTTTGATGGCAGAACAGGATTTAGGAGAGATTGAAAAAGGAGAAAATTTATTAAAAGCCACAAAGGAGAGCGAGTTGTGGAGAACCGTGATCGCCAATTTCCGGAATGGACACGGAACAAAAAAAAAAAAAAAAAAAGAATTGTCACTATTTTTGAAAGAAAAATGCTGGTAATTTTTGCACGCACCTAATCCTTTCACTTTTCATGTCAGATGTATGACTTTTTTTTAAAATGTCTTTTTTTATTTCACTGCTATTGAATCTTTGGTTAAAGCGCCGTTTCGTGGAACGCTAACTTTTTCGTGTCGAATCTTTGTTAAATGATTTCGCTCGATTCTAAATGCATTAGAAACACTCAAGAAGGTCAGGGAAAATGTAAAACTCTGAAATCTTTAAAAAGATTACTTAGACGCGCAGACAAATACGCCAAAATAATTTAATATAACTTTTAAACATCAAATTTCAAAAATCAATTCTAAAAAAGTATCTTTAAAATTTGCTATCTTTTTTCTTACTTTTTATCAGAGAAAAAGAAAATTCCGATTTTACTGAATTGACACAAATTAAATCGGTGAAATATTTTGTCTTGTAAACAAGCGGACATTTGATCATTTCTAAGAATTTATTTGGCTCAGTCTTTTGATCTGATCAGCTCGCATCCTATTATAATTGTACTTGTTCCGTTCTTCGTTAGTTGACACAACTATTACGCCTTGCCAATACGTCATAAATAATGGACTATTCCGTTTCGATGGCGTGGAAAGAGGGGAAAAGACACTACTTGATTTCAGCGAGAAAAAGAAAGAAAGAAGAATGGAAGAAAGAAGACAGGAAGAAAGAAAGAAGAAAGAAAAAAAGAAAGAAAAAGAAAGAAAGAAAGAAAGAAAAAGAAAGAAAGAAAGAAAAAGAAAGAAAGAAAGAAAAAGAAAGAAAGAAAGAAAATGAAAGAAAGAAAATGAAAGAAAGAAAAAGAAAGAAAGAAAAAGAAAGAAAGAAAGAAAATGAAAGAAAGAAAATGAAAGAAAGAAAATGAAAGAAAGAAAGCAAAAAGAAAGAAGAAAAGAAGAAAGTAAGAAAAAAGAAAGAAAGAAAAAAGAAAAAGAAAGAAAGAAAAAGAAAGAAGTGGAGAATGAGCGAATTAGATTAAGTTGATGGGAACAGATACTTCACTTTGATTTCTGTCAAAAGACTGAGAAGCGATTGCATTTCATTCCCTCCGCAAGCGGGTAAGATGTGACACAAGGTCAGATTAATGTTGGGAGCCGAGCATATGCACCCGGGTCAGCTTCTAAAATAGTCCAGCTTCCGCCACTGGCATCAGCATTACTGTCGATCCACCATCTTTACTGCAGCAAGGAAGGTACTGCCCCGGCAGCTGTTTCCCGAGACTGAGCCTCTGTTACGTGCGTATCTATCTCTCCACAACTTCTTCTCATTCGTATCTCTTCGTTGGGTTTGTATCCGATAATGGTACAAAAAGTTCTAAATTTTGCGATCATCTTTCTGACGTGTACACTCAAGAAGTGGCGTATCTGGCTGAGAGCTACGAATGATAGGAAGTTGCGGAGAGCCAGACACACCACGTCTTGAAAGTACGCAGGACATGCATGATCGTAAAATTTAAAGCTTTTTTGTCTGTTATCGGATACAAATCCCAGGAAGAGCTAGAAATGATAGCTTATTGCGGAGAACCATGATAGGCCTCGTGCTGAAAGTACACAGCACACAGAAGATCGAAATTTAGAACTTTTTAGTCTGTTATAGGATACCGAAATTGTTATCGAAAATTTTAAGAAATATATTAGTATTTTTCCCCGAAATATTTTGGGCAATCTCCTCTTTATCGACTCAAACGGCATCCTCTTGGAGGAGGAGGTTCCTGCGCATTTAAATATCTTTTTTTTCTGTGTACGGGGACCGACTGATACTTTTGATGCCAGGAAACGGCCATGTTTTGTGCACCAAATGTAACTCAACGATTTTTTTGTATACACGGCGTATTTATCTGATCTCTCACATTCAAATAGTCACTTATACTCTATAGTCTGATTGGACGTCAGCAGTTCTTCTATGCTATCGTCTACCTTTATAAGAGCCAGATCAGGCCGAAAATGGAGTACTTTTGCCATATTTGGGCAGGAGCTGACCAGGCCTCACATTCCAGTCTTGATAGAGTTCTCAGAGTTCTTGTGCGAGAAGAATTATTTTTCACCTTCCTACCGCTCTCTCACAGGCGGGATGTGGCACTTCTTTCACTGTTCTATCGCTACTACCATGGAAAGTGCTCCGATGAACTGTATCTCCTGGTTCCACCATGTCTGATCTTCACGGCTAGGACACGCCATGCCACATATAGTAACAAACTACCCACATTCCCTCCGTATCGGCTCAAGCAACTTCTTCCCGTGAGCCACTGACCTAATGAACAGACTCCCTAGAGTGTATTTCCCCGATTACTACAATCTTAACCTGTTTAAATCTAGAGTCAATCGCTATCTTCCCCTCCTATCCATATAAACTACGCCTTATTATAACCCTCTACCTAGAGTGGCCTTCTTCGATCGTCGGGTGAGGGGGATACCTACAGGCAGAAGGAACAGACAACCTTTTCCAATCTGGTCTGTTGTCGGTAGCTCTCACGAGTTCCGGCATTGTCATGCCCGTTCTCTCTCTAAAAGCAGAGAAGGCCCTAAATTCTAGGTTCTAATGGTTGTACCTTGTGTTGGTAGTTTGATGATTGTCGCTCCAGTCGCGCAATTGTCACGCCCATTCTGTGGTGAGTTAATAGGATCCGCGACCATCATTGATCCGAGCCTCGGCCGATCCGACATGGTGCTGGGTTGATTCTTCTTCCTTATGGGGCTTTCACATAGCCTAGCGGTGATCATCTCTAAAGATGCATTAAAGGCATAGAAAACCTGACAAATATGCTTTAAAATCTGTGAGTACTTTGGGAATACCGAAAATTGGACATGTTGGCAATAACGAAATAAAAACAAATTTATGGGCTATTTAACGAGAAATGTGCCCAGAGAATTTAGCACACACAGGGTAATTTAAAACAAGAGAGGCAGTGGGAAATATCGATTACGTATTGTGTAAATGGATGAGATAACGAGAACAAAATATGGATTCATATGAATAAAGTTTTTTTTTTGTGCTGAAAATACTAAAAACGTTTTCATCAAGCTGATATTTGTTCCTTTATGGCAGTGAATACCTGACAATCTCCTTACATTTTGACTTGAAACAACAGAAATGTGGTTTTACAGGAGGATAATGAGAATAGATCGAACATGGGAGCAACGACGAATCTTTAGAAAAAGTGTAAACAAAAAGGTCATTTATACGTAACATCAACAAGAGAGTTGCAATTTCAAAGACACATAATGAACAAAGAAGGCTTGGAATATTTGAACTTCACATGACCTTCTGAAGGTAAAAAGGAAAAAAAGACTAACCTACCAAGCGAACTTGTGTAAATGGATTGCAGAACAGGATTTCGAAGAGATAACAAAAAGACAAAAGTTACTAAGAGTTAAAACGGACAGTAAATTGTGGGAAGACATGATCGCCAACGTCCTGAAATGACATGACATATAAAAGAAGAAGAAGCCAAAATCCTCATGTGACCATGTTTACGTAGTATTCTGTGGAAAAAAAAAAACAGAATGGTATGACAATTTGTTTGCATAGATAATTTCTTATTTTATCCTCTTCAGAAAGATTTTGAATAGGATGATGCTGACTGCGTACTCAGACATGTTACTTTATTTTGTGGATCTTGAATAGCGTAAAGGATAACCGAAATCGCCAATCTGGGTTCAAATAACTGCCTAGTTTGTTGCCTTCACATAAATTTTGATTCATTTTTAAGGTTTATCAATCTTTGCAGGTTATTGAAAACCAGAAAATATTTTTTAGATTGTAAGAATTCTTTTGAGATAATAACTATTTAATGATAGTAATTAGTCTTGCTAATTAACCCATCACTTCAGAGAGAAGAGGTGGATTCATGCCTTTCCCCAGTAAGTGAATATAAAAAAATTAATTGAAATTGGAATTCGGTTCGATTAATAATTCCGAGTCATAATTTATTAACACATCCAAGCTTACAGAACCTGGTATTTCCAATCGGTCACCCATCAAGATACAGACTAGACTCGACATTGCTTATTTTTTTCTAATTGAACGGGAACCGGTATCTCAACGTTGTGTGGCCGTAAATCATTTTCCGAATTTTTCTTACAATCTAAAAATAGTTCCTGGCTTTAAATAACCTGCAAAATGTTGATAAGTCATAAAAAACGACTCAATGAAAAATCCGTTATAACTGATCTATTTGAATTATTTGAAGCATTTGAATTATTTTGTATTGATTAATTCCACATCCTGAATTTTTATGATGGATTCAGATCATGTTCCATTACTATTTTTCTTCTGATTCCAGATCATAGTTACTGGATAGGTTCGGATAGGTTTATCCCGAGTCATATTTCTTGGAAGCTTTGGTAGAGAATGTTGGTTTTACAACCCTAAATTAACATCCAAATAAACGTGAAAAAACTGATCAAGTAGCTAATTTTGTATGTCTTTACAACAAGAAATCTTATAAGAAATTGGAGAAGAAAAAAAAAAACCGAATAAACCCCGAGTGGCATGTATTTGAAAAACAAAGCTACACTGAAATCAACAAGAGTACAAATCCACAGTAAAACAAAGACATATCTTATATTCCTTCTTCTATTTTTCTGTGCTTTAAATTTCGTGGTATGGATATAGAAATCTTTCAGCTAAGATCCAATCATCCAAAACCATAGGATGTGTATCAGAAGCTGAAAGGAATCTAAATGTTACTAGAAATGTATCCATTTGTTTTTAATTTCGAAACCATCCGTAGAAAACCCTTGAAAACTACTTGGGTGCATGAAATGAACTGGTACAGGGATCTTTAAATTGTAACTTGACAGTATGCTGCCTGTAGAAGAAGCAGACGACAAGCAAAATAGATAGAGGAAAACAATTCTGTGGTCATACTCTAATGAATGGAAGGCATTAAATAATCTTGCTCAAGGTCTTAATCAATGGCAGAAAATAAGTCATCTTCCCAATGTGCCGCAGGTGAAAACAGCAATTAATATTGATAATGATGTATTATTTAGAACAGCCTGTTCATATTGCCGATTATATTTATCAGAAGACAGCCGAAGACCTCAACAGTCGAAACTTCGTTAATATAACAATTAAGATGAGTATGCAAGTTAGAATAATAAAGGATTATATATAATACTAATGGTTAATATTAGATGCATTGAAAGTTAAAATTGTGGTCAGGTATGAACGATGAAGACTTAACTCCAACTGGCAAGTTAAATCCAGCCTGGTTTACTGACGTCTTTTTGTAATAGATGAATCCCAAATAACCGAAAAGAAAATATCTTTAAAAAATACCATTGATTCAAAATACTTAAATATTTCCAGTATTTTTCGTTCATTTTGATCATAACCATATTTGTAAAAATATTCTGGAGACCCAAACATACGTTCGCTATGAATCTTAACGTTAGGCACATGCATCTATACTTATTTAAGGAGAGGATCAAAATAGTGATTTTAATCTGACCTTTCTATTCTGCTCACGTGTTATCTATAATTAACTGAAATTCGATGGATTTGAAAACAACAAAAAAGGCCAGTCGGCATTATATTTCAAATAGTTCCTTTGTCTTGCCTTAATTTTGATGGAATTTTATCGATTCAATGGAGATTCCATACAAAAATGTCACTGAAGGCATTATTAACTGTCGCCGTATGTAGAAACCTTTCTAAGACTACTACTCCTAGTAATAATAATAATAAAACACTTTCAGTTGGCATCGGTTTCGAATAAACAAGTTAAAGAATTATTGTTTGTACATCAGCTCCGGATTTACGGAAGTATTTGATATTCGCTTTCTCCGTCAGAATTGTCACAAACGTTGAAAACAACGGTTCTATTATTTGACGCCCATTTTTCTATTGAACTCAAAGAACTAAAATTACTGAATTATCAAGTTATTCTCATAAGATACTGGAATGGTTTGGCTTAATGATTAGAGAGAAAAACAAGGCCTGAAAGCGTTTTAATTTTATCTAAATTCTGTGAAGAGTTCAAATAGCGGAAACCATTTAAATTGAATAAAACAATTCAGTTTAGGTGAAATCGAAAAAGGTTTTATTATTTCCTTCGTTCATAAACTGTCCTTTCAACCTGAGTAATCATGTCTCTCAGGAACTTTCTTATTTTTGTTTTTCTAAGTACGTTTTGAACATTTACAAGGCTTTTTCGGCTATCCATTCACAAACACACACACACACATATATATATGGTTTAATAAATAAACGAGGCGCCTACTCAAATATGTGTATGCACTAAAATAATATTAAAATGATAAAATACATTGTGCAATTGGTAAATTGTCGCCATTTTATATTTTTAATTTGGCGCATAGATCATGTTGCTCAACTGCTTTCTCGAAAGCCTGTACTTTATATATACTATGGTGTTGAGGTCAGGAGATTGGGGCGGCCAAGTCATAGCACTCTCTTGCTTCTCATCAAAGTATTCCTTCAGCAATTTTGATTTGTGACAGGGAACATTATCCTGCACAAAAATGAGCTTGGTGGGGTCAATTTGCACCCTTTCAGCAGAAGGGAGCAGATAAGACTCTAAAATTCTCTTGTACTGCTCGCTCCTGGGGGTCTTTTCAATAGGTTTTAAGAAACCAGTTCCATGAAAAGAAAAGCATCCCCAGAACATTATACTGAACGGATGCTTGACAGTACTTACTGCTAAATTCAAAGAGCTTTCAAAGCTTCTTCGGATTTTAGATTGCTTATCCTTTGAATTTAGCTCAACTTTCGTTTCATCGGAGAAGAGAACATTTAGTAAAAAAATCAGGTGAGTCACTTTTATCGAACAGCACTGTAACTTGAGTATAATACGTCCGCGTGTTTCTGAAGCTGAAAAACAGGAAATTTATTACATCCTTGGGTATAATACAATCTCATAGTACAGCCAACCTCATGTAATTTTTTTTTGAAAAGTTGTACCATAGTATCCATTAAAATTTCAATATTATATATACTTCACTAAAATAATTTTTCACGATATTAGATAGAAATTGCTAGTTTTTTTCTCATAATTTCCATTTCAAAACATTTTCGAAGAAAGGTACTTTGTTTTAAGAGTAATGTTTTTAAAATGTTACAGATCTTGCGTATTTCCTTAATTTCCTTTTAATTAATTCCAGCGAATTTCCTGTCTTCGAGACGAAAGATGTTCAATTACGCTGATTTTTAAAGAACCAATATTGCCGACATATCAAACACCTCTTGTAGACAATTGTTATCAACATCCGCATACTTTGTTTGATTATGTATTGCGTTGAGTATATTTGCAATGTTGCTAAATATTTATTTCATAATTTTTTTCTCAGATTAAAATACCTCATTTGAAATAGCAAAAAAAAAAAAAAATGAAGTAAAAAATTAACGTCTTTTTTAAAAATATGATTCCTGTAGGAAAATCCAATTTTACTATTTTATCACGTAACAGGAGAATGTCAAATTCGCGAAAATCCGTGTCAAGAAAGATATAAGTTTTAAATTTGATATATATTTATCTAAGCAAAAAAAAAAAAAAAAATAAAAAAAAAAAAATAAAACAACGACAGATATTCCAAAATAAGGTGTTTATAAACTTTTGAAGGAAAGACTAAATCAAAAATAATTTTCTAAACTCCTAAGGGAATTAAACGCCCTAAAGCCGAATCGTAATAAGAAAAAAAAAAGTAAAAATAAAACTGAGTAAATTTTAAGTTTTTAAATAAAATTTACTAAAAATGGAAAAATATCCCAAAAGTATTAATCAAGTTAGGTTTGTTCACGAGGGACAAAAGAAGAATGCAAAACGAAATGATTCCAGTAATTAAATTGAAACAAAAAAATATTCGGAGGACTGTAATAAATTTTTTGTGTCTCAAGAGAGGTATAAATCAATGATTCCTCACGTGTCCGTTTTTGTTTTTTTTTTTTTAAATCGAGAAAGGAATGACGGATGTACGCATATAGATATATGCAAGGATGGTTCAATATCAACGAGTGACATTGAAATGTGATCTGAAATTTGGAAAAGAATTCAACATTCATTTACAAGGAAAAGAATGAAAATAAAAATACCTTGGTTTAAATTACATTTCTTCCCTATCAAGGATATCCGGCGGTTTTCTTTTATCCACAGGCAATAAACATATGCAGTCATAGTCGTTTCAGATTCCAGTACCTCCGAAGGGACTATAACTTTTATATTCTACCACTTAAAAGGCAAGAAATATTGTGACATTGTCGCATGAAATATGGTTGGGTATTGTGGTTTGACGACCACTGCCATTGCTTTGTTTTGTTTGGGGTTGCAACGTTAGTATCTACGGTTTTCTTGAGTTAGACTACCGCTGCATTTTGCTGAAAATCAGTCGGTATTGGCTGCTTTTATTGTCCTTAAGACTATTCGTCAGTTTAGACGCACACCTTCGACGATCTCATTAAGTTGTCCAACGTTTTTTTTTTTTCTTTTTTTTTTTTTTGTAAAATTTATGATAACAGAGGGTCAATGTGTGCTATTAAAAAAAAGAAAAAAAAACAGCCATAAAACTTCGGGAAAAAGAATTAGATCATCTCGGCTGTTCATCTTTAGTAGGTATAGCTTATTGATGCATGTATATATATATATATATATATATATATATATATATATATATATATATAATTATTTATTCAAAAATATGATTCCAACGCTACATAAGAGTTCTCATGTTTCAAAACAAGTGCCGAAAACTTCAATATAATAATTATTGAATTAAATTGAATTAAATATTTGTATCGAGCACTATTTTCTAAAAATAATAACAAAAATACTAAAGAACTTTGGATTATTTACCTAACGAGTTCTTTCCTATTTTCTATATTTTCACACACACACACACACACACACACACACACACACACACACACACATATATATATATATATATATATATATATATATATATATATATAATTCCCCCAATAAGAGCATTGGTTTAATACGAAGAAATCATTTGAGAGGACAAAGCATTATACAGAATTTCCCCCCTTTGTCATTCAACTACTTAAAAATATTGTTATATATATATATATATATATATATTCACCATGAGAAAGCATGAAAATTTTAGTTGTGGTTCGCTACTGTTCACTAGGAATTTATTTAGAAATATCAAGACCCTCTCAGTTAATATGGCATTGAGCTCACTTTCTCGAGGTGGGAGTGAGGGCTCACCCCCGTATTCTTCCGGAAGGATTGGCAGAGTAGGAGGAGAAGGCTTTTTCCCGTCGCCGTAGAAGCTGCGGTTGTCGTATATGTTCCGTCCCGGAGGCCTTCTCTTGTCTCTTGCATTGACTTTGGGTAACATCTCTTATATAACGGTGATACGACCGGTTATGAGTAGCTTAGAAAGACTATGAACAGCTTAGACCAGCAGCCCGAGTCGAACATTCGGGTCCCTACGTTAAAAAATGACCATGTGTTATAACTTGACTCAGTGGCGGTTGTGGTGGTGGGGGCGTGTAAGGTAAATCTCGATCCCTCTTTCTCAGGTGTGTCTCTGTAGTAGACTCTTTAGTAGTTGCTTATTATATATATATATATATATATATGAGTAACATACGTGCAAGTACAATGCTGGTGGTAATAAAACAGCTAAAGTTTATACTACTAATAAATATAAATTTTGTTCATCACTGTTTGCTAGAACTCAAAACGGCGTTGAGCGAAATAAAAGCATTAATTTCAAGTGAAGCCATTCTAAACCTCACTTCCCTTATAATACATTATTTTAGAAATATATTTTTAAAATAAACAGTTAAACCACCAGTTTTATTTCCTTTTATTAAGTTAACGAATTAATCAATTTACTTTTTGAATTGATGTATACGAATAACAGTGTTGTTTTTGTAATACTGAAAAATATTTCTAATCTAAAATTAAATTTACTATATGAAAATTTTTATTTCCCCTCGGAGATATCTGTTATAAAGAATCAAGAGTGGTCTCCCCTTGTTTTGTTACTCTCCTCTTTGAGAGAGCTATTTCTGTTTACCGGGACACTATACGTGAACCTTTTATTCTCAGTTAAATAAAGCTTTCTTAAAGCCGACATTTGCGTACTTTCGTCATTACAATATCTTATTCCGTGTGGAAACATGAAGACTCGTGTATAAATCTGATCAAGGCCTACCACTTTTTTTTACTTTAGCATAAACTGGTTTAATGTCTAAACATTTTGATTTTAATGTATACCTAAATGATGTGTTTATTTTTAATCTCGTGTAAACCCAACCAGAGTCCACCTTTTTCTATAATTTTTTTGTCAATTATATTTCTACCTCTGATTGAATGCATTGTTATTTTTTGTCCTATACAGTGTAACCCGGATATAAGAGACCCGGTTATAAGAGAAACCCGGGTATAAGAGAGATTTTCTCCGGTCCCAAATTAGAGACTGTGTTAATGGATATAAAATAGACCACGTTTTGAAATTATTTTTAAAAGTAGGAAACACCTACTTAACAATAAACTACATCTGACACACAGAAAAAGAAGAGGTAAAAAATTGATTCCTTATAAGAATTGCTAGTATTTTGGACAATTTGTCTTTTTGTACAATAGCCCTGGGTACGACGATAAATTACCAACAATACATATTTATAGTAAAATGACCAACGGTACCGATTTGTAGCAAAATTACCAACAATACATTTTATGGTAGAGTTAGCAACAATACATTTTATAGCAAAATGTGCAATAATACATTTTTATCTGTAAGTGACGGCATAAAATTGTGTTTAATATATTTAGATTTCGGCATTAAATAATCTATAGAGTTTAATATGTCGCTAAATCAAATTAACCAACCAACATACTTAACATCAGTTTAATGAATAACCCGAGACGAATAAACTTTGGTAAGCTTTATTAATTACGCTAGTATATTTATAAGCTTATGTGGAGTCGTCCATTACACCAAACAAGGGGGAGCAGGTTGTGGGAATTACTTACAACAATCAGGAAGAGCTAGTTGAAATTTCTGGGCCGCATAATGACGAAAGAGAGGTTGGTAAAGTTGATGGTCACTAGAAAGATTGAAGGCAACAGTGTGTCTGTGTCTAAAACTCATGTCTGATCATCAGCCGACTATAGTTAGAAAACTACATCTCTAAAAGCAACGATTCTGTTAACTGATTCATTAAAAAAACAAAAACAAATAAGTTTTGGACATCCATGTAAACAACAAAATGACTATAGGAACGATTAGACACACTGGGAAAAAATTTCGTTAGAAACAAAGGAAACAGTGTTAGACTGCTATTTAAATATAAATCCTACAATGTAGCGGTGGATGTGAACAAACCGCTTGCAAAGAAACAGACAATGAATTGAGCAAACGCAAGAAATTAGACAGGGACGTAAGGAAAGATACATCTTCGCACAGGAATGAATTAACCTTTACGGGGAAGCAATCTTAAGAGAATTACAAATCCTACCGGGATTTATTATCGGTGGACAGAGTCTTAACTCTACTTCTGACCTTTTACACTTACCGCTCATACAACACCGTCCTTCAGTAAAAATCTAACTTGAGTGGCTCTTGCGACTTGTACAGGTTGAATATTAGTAAACAAAACAAAGATACACAGATGGCAATGTGTTGATAGCATGCAGAAAGAAAACTTGTAGAAAACGCAGTAAAGGAAAGAGGAAAAGAAGGACTAACCCTCAATTTTTAGAAGTAAAAGAGACAGTCCAATTGCCAGATACGAAATGGAAATATCAGAAACAAGCAAATTTTTAAAAAGATTTATAACAAATGACAGAAAATATGACATGCGAAAGAGCAAAAGATGCCTTTCCGATGCTAAACAAGGTATTAAGACGAAGGGGGAGACTTGAGACAACGGAGATGTGGATCTAGAGAAGAATGCTGAGAATACCATAGACGTAGCATGCGAACAATGAGGAAGTTTAAAGAAACTGGAAACAAAACGACGCTTATACTTGGTATCAGAAAGTGAGATTTGAAATATTTGGATGTATAATGATGAGATAACTATACATTTTAACGCCTCCAGAACTAAACTTCCCTGTATTAACCATCTGAGAGACCGGTGCCCCTGCGATTTACCTGAAGCTCCTTGATAAAATCCAAAGAAAAATCAGCAATATTATTGGTCCTGTTCTGGCATCTCGGCTCTAGGCACTTGCCCACAGCCGTAAAGTTGCCTTTTTATGCCTTTTTTTATTATAAATACATTCACGGTAACTGTTCCGATGAGCTCTTTGCTATGGTACTTAGACTGTATGAATTTAAACGCAATACTAGGCTGGTGGCGAGATCGCATCAAATTAGAGTTGAGATAGGGAGATGAAGCCGTAAATTTTACGCTAACACTTTCTTTTCTCGCACCTCTCTCTTGTGGAACTCCCTACTGGTTTCATGCTTTCAAACAAATTTAATCTGCAAGAATTTAAATACAATGCCAATCACTATCTACTGTCCTCCTGAATGGTCTTTTCTCTTTCTACTCATTACCAATGTTTCTGTTCCTAATTCCTCCACACCATGTAACCCTTTGCCTGTTAGTAGCTGTATTGCTTTACTTGAGGTGACACTGATTAAAACATATAAAGGAATCCTCGATTAATGCGCATTCGATTAGCGCGTTTTCGATAAGTGCGCTAAAATTTTTATATACCAGAATTCGATTAGTGCATATATAATACTCGATTAGCTCAGTGAAACATTCTTCAGTTTAACCATAGTAATTGAAAATCGATTTTAATGTCAATGTTAAACATTTTCTAATATTTAAAAATGGAAAATGGGTAACAATTTTGTTTGACAACTATTACGTTAGCTATGTAATTACGTAATGGACAGATAAATTTTATAATAAAAGCTGATAATAAAAAATATATTCTGAATATCTATCTGTATTAAATATTTTGAATTATTTTGATTCTTTTTCATGTTTATTTTCAAGGAAATTTCTGATTTTCGTTTAAAAATAGAA